TCACGGTAACAAGTATTAGGCCTGTCACGATAACAAGTATTAGGCCTATCACGGTAACAAGTATTAGGCCTATCACTGTAACAAGTATTAGGCCTGCCACGATAACAAGTATTAGGCCTGCCACGGTAACAAGTATTAGGCCTATCACGGTAACAAGTATTAGGCCTATCACGGTAACAAGTATTAGGCCTGTCACGATAACAAGTATTAGGCCTGCCACGATAACAAGTATTAGGCCTATCACGGTAACAAGTATTAGGCCTATCACGGTAATAAGTATTAGGCCTGCCACGGTAACAAGTATTAGGCCTGCCACGGTAACAAGTATTAGGCTTGTCACAATAACAAATTTTGTTGGCCATTAATTGTCTCAGAAATTATTGCGATAAATGATAATATTGTTTGAAATTTGACAAAAATCAGTAATTATTGTCAAATTTAGGAATAAATGTTGGTTAATTTTATTTTGAACATAAATAAAAACTTAGTGTTTATGATGCTTTTAATGTTTTGGATCTACAGCAATTTAAAACTCTTTCTCCATCAAAATTAGTAAATTTTTGTCCTTCCTCCAAAATATTGTTCACGTTGAGAGTTAAATTAACATTTTGTGGTCCAAGAGTCCTTTCATCTGGATTGTTCTGGACCACATATGAAAACCATTTGGACACCCCTCTAGGGTCAAAGAAACCTTTAAAAACCAGCTACTGGTGCCACCAAAAACCTTAAAATATCTGACAAATTCTGAATCCTACAGTCTCCTTTTTTGTAGTCTCAAGAATAAATAACATTTAGTGAAAATAACCGGAGGTGAGTGTTTGCAAAGCGAACCTGTGTCCTTTAAGTGAAATCATGCCACGTTTGGCAGCACCTTCCAGAAACTTCTTTTCCAAGGCTTCATCGCCGTCTTTCTTCCCGACACGAAAAGGAATGTTCATGCGGCTTCGACAGGACACCTCCACAGGACACCTGAACAGGTGGAGACATAAAAACAAAAGGGTTTCTGAGTACGTTTACAAACAGTTACATAAATTGTAGTAGGAAAAAAAATAACTTCCATTTTTATCAAGTAGTTCCAAGAGTTCACCATATTTGTAAACTCTTAACTCAAGTCCTTCATCCTGTACTCATGGTGTATCCTTTCTATACGCGCTAAAATACTTCAACATTTCCTGAGCTGCTGAGATCTAATCTGCTGTACCTGAGGCTGACGGAGGTCAACAACCAGTCTGGACTGGGCTGAACTCCAACGCTGCTGAAGTCTGATTAAATGACAAACACTGGTAATATTTTGTTTTGTCCAATTCCCACATTTATTGTCTAAATGTTTATGAAGGATTCACATTATGGGATCTATTTTTTTTGCCATACATTTTCGGCGCAATTCTCATCCTGCGGGTTTCAAACTATTTCAACAAAACATAAATCAAAATGTTTAGCTCTTTCAGGAAAATCCTGCTATGACGTTTGGTATTGATGCAACTTTAGCTTTTTGAAATATTTAGCCTTTTCTGTCACATTTTTTTTCCTCACAGAAAATGAACTGAGCTCATTTTACATCCTTCAACTCTTTAGATCTGTTTACAACCTTTTACTGCTCCTTAAACATTTTGTTCTGGTTTAGCTTCTCTTTCAGTTGCCTTGTGCAAATTTAAAACTTTTTTCAGCTACTTTCAGCTATTTTCAGCTGTTTCGTGCTCATTTCAGATGCCTTCAGCTAACGAAAAGAAATTGTGCTTATCCTAATTTCTTTTTGCTAATTTCAGCTTGTTATGCAACTTTCAGCTTATTTCTGAAAGTTTCAGCTCTTTCCTGATATTTCAGCTACTATTTAGCTGTTTTGATACTAATTTTAGATTTTTCAGAAAATTCCACTTTTTTTGCACTAATTTCAACGTTTTTCAGCCTAATTCAGCAAAAAAAAAAAAAAATCACTCTCCACATCCTTCTGGTAATTTAAGCTTATTTCTACTTTTTAGCTACCTTTCAGCTGTTTTTTGCTCAGTTAAGCTTTTTATAGATAATTTCCACTTTTGTGCTCATTTCAGCTTCTTTCAGCATGAATGGGCAAACGTGTTCTTTCTGCTTTCTTCTGCTAATAAAGCTTGTTCCATCTTTTTAGCTACATTTTTAGCTTTTTTATAGCTAATATCTTCAGATTTATTCAAGTTTTTCCATGGTAATTTCTGCTACTTTCAGCCTAACTTCTTTCTGCTCAGTTCAGCTTGTTAAGCTCCTTCAGCTTTTTCATGCTAGTTTCAGCATTTTCTGATATTTCAGCTACTTTTTACCTGTTTTTGTGCTAAATTTAGACTTTTCAGTTATTTCCACATTTTTTTTTAGCTCAATTCAGCTCATTTTACTTCCTTCTGGTAGTTGAAGCGTCTTTCTGCCTTTTCAGCTACTTTTCAGCTATTTTTGCTAATTTCAGCTTTTTTAACTAATTTATTAATTTCTGTGCTCATTTCTGCTCATTTAAACCAAATTCAGCACAAATGTGTTCTTTCTGCTTTCTTCTGCTAACTTGGGCTTGTTCTTCCATTTCAGCTACATTTCAACATGTTTTTAGCTAATTTCAGCTGTTTTCAGCAAGTTCTTCAGCAATAAGCATTCACACTGCATTTTCACAGAAAATGCAATTTTCTCTAGTTTACAATTGTATTTTGTGAACAGTTAGTTGGAACATCAGTGTTAGGCACCCCTGCATCAGTTTATCTGCTCAATTACCTCGTCCTCTCCTTCCAAAGCTGACTGCCGCATCGTTAAAAGGAAGACCTTCGGCCTGCTGGTGGACATCAAGAAGCTGTTGGTTGGTTGCCCGCTCACAGCAGCTTTGCGCCGTGTCATTTTTCTAACAATTACTAGTTTGGTTTGGGAGTTACCGGCAGTCCTAGTTTCAGTTTTGAGGTTTAGAGGTTAAACCTGAATTCAACAGCTGCCTGGTTAGTTTCAGATTTTCTCCCTCTTCTGTTTGTTTTGACTGGGGCTCCTTTTGGTTTTGTTTGAGCTCCGTTTAAATTAAAATTTACTTAAACATTGCAATTGCCTGGACTCTATATATTATGTACCCTTGGAGTCATTTTTTGACATAAGAACTATAAGAATTACTCAGGCTGTTATCACTTTTCAGACCATCTTAACTAAACAGATTCAACCTGGACTACAACTGAAGAGTCACTGTGAAACAATCCTCAAAGTTACAACGTTAAACCTGAAGCTTTAATACTTACACGTAGAAATCATTAGATGAGTTGATGATGTCGTAAATCATGGAGGACTTCCTCTTGTTGAGCACCTCCATGGCAGCGCTGCCGCCGTTATTCTTGATCCACTCCAGAACCAGAGCCATGATGTAGATGCTGAAACCAGTAAAATGAAAACAGTCACACACAGTCAAAGAACAACTCCTCTCCTTATCGTGTCTGCTTGTTTAAGTGCTGTACTTTATTACAATCGGTGTAAAACATTACACAATTTTTAGGAAATTATTTAATTATTTACAGAACTATTTCTCATTTTAACACTTCCTTTTAGCTCTATGAACTTGTTAGCTGATCTTTAACCATAATTTTTAAATAGAAAAAATCAAGTCAAATTGTTGCACATTTTCTTGAGACTGCCCCGAAGTGGCAGCAAATAGCTCCAACACCCAAAAGTTCATTTACGTCACTGAAATTTTCTGTTTCTTGTTTATTTTATATTTTAAAGTGTAAGAGCCTTTTGTTGTGTGTAATTTGACTTCACCATGGGTGGTGGTGTGTTACGCATTAGAAGCAACCACAGGTTCTGCAGGACATCCATTATGCTTGGGTGGCGGGGTGAACACACTTTTTATCATTTGGCACACCAAATCCGTTTTGCTGCACTTTTCAACAGTTTATCTATAAAAGTTATATATTTGTAACAGTAGATTAATAGATTATAGATAATAGATTAATCTATTAGTTATAGATACAATAATAGTAATTAGATTGTTTATGCATTAATACCATCATGTTCATGAAGCCTTAAAATGCTTTAAATGGGAATTATACTTAAACATGAAGAAGATCCTTGGATTATTTATTCAAAACGCACCAAATATTGTTTTGTGAAAAAATGTTTTGTGAGCTGTAAAAATTTTCAGGGGTTTGTAGATTTATTTCCACCCGTTGTAGCCATGATACCTGAAACATGGCGGCGTGTTGTAGAGGGAGTTCATTTCAGCCTGCACCTTGTAGTCCAGGACAATGGGACACTCCTTCTGGGCGTGTCCTAATAAGTCCTCTCGCACGATGACCACCGTGACTCCGGCACAGCCCACGTTCTTCTGAGCCCCGGCAAAAATGAGCCCAAACTACACAATGAACGTTTTTAAATGGTCAATATGATCAGTGCGGAAATGGAGACTTTTCTCTTAAAATAAGACTCATTCTCACCTTTGATACGTCCACTGGTCTGGACAGGAAGTTGGAGGACATGTCGCAGACGAGGAGCACCCCGTTAGTTTCAGGCGTGAAGTTGTATTCCACACCATGAACAGTCTCGTTGCAGCAGTAATACACATAGGAGGCCGACGGGTTCAGGGTCCAGGTGCTGGGGTCGGGAATTTCTGAAGGGAGCAACAAAGAATGTTGTTACGCCATATGGAAGTGTGTATTACCCTGAAACCAGTTCTGAGACCAAACACTGTGGTAGAGCTCCTGAGATCTTCAAAAAATAATGTTCTAATTAGTTTTTTTTTGTTGTTTGTTTTTGTTCATGTAGTAGAACCCTACCATTTTAACCAAAATACAGTAAAGACGACACAAACTATGACATCACCACAACCAGTGGTGGAATATAACTAAGTACAAGTACTTTGTTACTGTATCTGTACTTTACTTAAGTACAGTTAAACATGGGTACTTTTGACTTTTACGCCACTACATTTTACATTAAGTATCTGTACTTTCTACTACACTACATTTCTATAAGGCGTTGCGCTACAAGTTACATTCATGTTGCGATTGTTTGGTTTGTTCGTTAGTTTGAAAGTAACCAATGGCGAGAGGGAAGTTGGTTCATTGAATCACTGCAAAGTGGGCAGGTAACGTTAAACCCACCTTCAAGAAGAGCTGGGCCAATGACGTATATTCTAGTATATATATATATATATATATATAATGTCATTGAGCTGGGTGCACCCACAGCACCGCTAACACACCCAAACTGGATTCCACCACGGAGAGTCAGCCAGAAGATTTGCGCCACAAAGCCTTATTGAAATATTATTGAAATATTATTAAAATACTATTGAAAGAAAGACTGTTCAGTACAGCAGGACAGATTCTCTCTCCCAAAAGAGCCAGACTGGACTCAAAAAACTTTGAAAACCAACTTCTTCTGAACTTGAACAAGAAATTCTTCTACTTAAACGTGTCAGTTCATGATGTTAGGACAGGAGACGAGAGATGTCTTCAAATGACTCGACACTCGGGTCCAAGTTTTAAAAAATGGTGTCAGGAAGTTAAAATATTGTTCAATATTGACCCATTACAAGGTTGAATAGACAATATTCAACTAAAGTTGATGACAAACTGGAGTTGAAATGATCAGAGCCTGTTCCTTTGTTAGGTCTAATGCTCCTTTTTTCAGGCAGACAACTTTTACTTACATGTTTTTACTGCAGTTAAAACGACACATTGGTTTTGCTTTGTGTTAAATAAAAACTTTCAAAGGTAAAACCATTTCTCTTATTTTGATTAATGGCATTGAACTCATCCCTGAAATTCTGCTGCACAGAATCACAAGTCCATGTGTGAACTGTGTCACAGAGTAAACGCAATAAAAACATGTATTATCTGCAGCATAAAACGGCTCAACACTATTAATGTATTACAGAAAATATACATACGGTAGTCACACAATGATACTGAACACCATTGCATTAGGTAATACATTCAGCAAGTACTTTTAATTTTAATACTAAGTATTTTTAAAAGCAAGTACTTTTACTTAAGAAAAAAATGCAAATGTGGTACTTCTACTCTTACTAGAGTACATTTTTGTCTGTTTATTTGTACTTTTACTTAAGTACAGTGTTTGAGTACTTTCTCCACCACTGACCAATACCATTTTCCACACACAATAATATTTCATGATTGACTGAGTGGATTTTCTTTCTTAAAGTATAATGATTTTCTCAAAAGTCTAAAAATGTTTTGTTTATCTATCAACTTTCCACAAATACATTTTCTAGAAATCCTTATGGTTCTTCCATTTTTTTTTTAAAATAAATTCAGACAATCAGACAAATATCCTGACTGTGTTTCGAGAGCAGCCATTTATAATATTTTATTAGGATCCACTTCTTAAATGTTACACGAAGATGTTAACTTTAACATCTTTTCAATCCCTGACATATTCTTTATGGTGTGCCCTCATGATTAAATGTTGTGGAGGGCAACCAGGGTTCCTGACTATACCATACCTTTGTTTAATTCATTTAAATAACATTTTTGTGGGTTTTTGTTTTAATTTTTCGGACGTGTGTAAAAACTTCATGATGATGCTGGTCAAATAATTCCAGAGCGTTGTTAAACCGTCCAGCACCACAGAACAAAAGAGCTCCTCTGAAAGCCAAATCCAGACGCAACCACGTGGAAAAGGCTGCTGCATACCAGAGTCTTTCAGTGGTGATCTGCGCTGGAGAGAATTATGCAACAGACTGGAAAGCTGCCAGATTTTGCAGAGGGTCTTTCTTGGTGCAGACTGAATGACGATGAGCCACTCATGAGCTCAAACAACTATTTTTTTATCAACCAAAATCTATGATCTTCAGCCTCTGCATTCACACAGACAGGGTTATGAAACATGATCGTGCAGACATACTTGTATAACTATCCAACTTTGGGTGAACAATGTTGATTTTGCCGTATTTCTCTGCTTCTTTTGCCGCTTTTGATGACCATGTGCCAGTCACCAGGTAATCGGCACACGTGTCCTCTTTCAGGCCAATCAGGTTGAGAGGAATCGCACTGAACTGTCCAGACCCGCCGCCCTGCAGAAACAACACCTTGTAGTTGTCTGGAATATTTCTGTGGAGACAGATGTTCCTGCGTGAAACACTTAATTCAAGCTAAACCCAAAGAACTTTGGATGTGTACCGACGATAGGACTGAACAGTTTACAGCGAAGACGGTGCCTGTCGCCGTCACAAACGCCACTTACAACAACTCTCGCAGGAGACTTTCTGCCTTGCTGAGGATTTTATTGAAGTCTGATGATCGGTGACTCATCTCTGGTTTAAAAAGAACAAAAACGTAACATTCAAACATCCTTATTATCAACGCTTAAAACCACATTACGACTCCAGAAAGTAAAGAAGCGCAGATTAACACAGAAACCCTGATTGCCAAGGGTTTGTGCATTTTGTTTCTTTGTATCTACTCACCAAGAACGCTGATACCTAATCCACTGTAGTTCAGAAGCTCCTTCTGTGCTTGGAACAGCACCTGCAACACATCACAGACTCAGCTCCTCTTCATCGTAAACACTTCAGGTCGACACATTTTCAACAAGTATACCGTACCATGCCAGCGTTATTGGGCCAAAATGATGCACACATAATACAGTCAATAAAAATAATTAAGTCAACATCACAGATGGTGTCAAAGGTCAGGGAGAAGAGATGAGTTTAAGAAGGGATTTAAAAACAGGCAGGGAAGAGGTCTGATGTCCAAGTATGGAAGTTTGTAAGGGATAAATGGTATTTTCCATATTATCTGTTTGACAGGATGCAGCAGTTATAACAGAGGTTTACTGCAGGGCAGAAACAATCGTTTTGTTAACATTACTAGGCTTTATATCTCTAGCATCAATAGTTTTAAAACGTTGGTGATTATTTACTTCCTGCAGGATGTTTTTTCTCTATTATCAACAAATGTATTGAGCACAAAACTCTGTACTGAGCCCGTTTTCTAGTTCAGAGGTTACAAACTCAGAGAGTTGAACAAACCTGAGGTAACAAAGGTGAGAAAAATAGTAGCTTTTTCAATGTAGCTTTTAGCTGCTATTCTGCTGTTGTTAGCTTTAACTTACGATTTTGATACTTTTAGCTAGTTTTCTGCAGTTTTGGCTTTAACAGATCAGTTTCAGCTAACTTCAGCTGGTCGATCAGCAGTCAGTTAATTTCTCCAAATTATATTTTAAATGCAAGACTCTTTTATTCTAGTTGGTCATTAAACGAGATAAATTAGATTAAAGTTTTTCTGCCATCTAGAGGTTGGATCTGTTGCAGCCTGGGAAGCACAAAAGCAGTTTTCCACATGAATGAATGAAGGAAAGAGGCTGATGCAACTCAGCAGCCAGTTTTCATCCTGGTGAGCTGCGAACAGCTACAGAGACACAAAACCAACAATCACTGCTTTTCACAATAACTACAGCGTCACCAGCAGAAAATCTGCATTTTAATGGTAAAACTGCTCAGCTTCGGCTGCCAGGTCGTTTAAAGACATCCAGAATAAACGCAACGACATAGAAAATACTTTAGTGTAGTGTGCATCAACAAACACCCTCCAACACAAACCGTAATAAGTGATGTTTTCGCTTAAGCTAGCTTATTTTCTGCAGCATTCCCGCAGATTTGCGGACACACACACGCAAATAGTAGGACCAAACTTACAGACTGAGGGAGTTTAGCAGGTCCAGGGCTAAAATTAATGATGTGTTTCTCCTCCATGATGCAAAAGAAGCTCCTGTGTGGACACAGTAAACGTTATTCCTACACGCAGCTGTGGGTGACAGAGCTTCGCCTCGGTCTTTTTGTAGCTAGTTGACGTTGAGGTAAATTGATGCGTTCAGGGATTCCTCGTAAATTTGACAACTTACCTGACACGCTAAGATGCACACACTCAGTTGCCTTTAACCGAAATATTTTACTATTGCAGATTTATAAGATGGATTTAGCTCAACCTTATGACGATTTACTTTAACAATTTTACAATGGTTCTCATATTAACTGGTAGAGAACTAGACGGGGTAATGCTATTATTTTGTTTTACCAGTTGTGAGATAAAACCGTCGGAAATTTACGACTTTACATTTCCAAAAACGCATCGCAAATTTTACAATAAATGCCAATTAAAAGAAACTTTATTTATAAAAACATATTTAAAATGAGAGAAAATGCAGAGTGCGTAGTAGCAAAATGCAAGCCAAAAGCTAAAAATTGCAAAAGGGTAGCTAAAAACTGAATGTAGCCAATGCAAACTGGACTATCAAAAGGTTAGCTGGAAGCTAAAAACATAAAAGCAGCTAACTAGAATATCAATCAATCAACCTTTATTTATACAGGTAAATCCCATTGAGCCTCGAGGACTCATTTACAAGAGAGACCTGATTTCAACAAAGAAAGATGACAACAATGGACAACAGCAACAACAATAAACAGTTATAAAAAAGCATACTACAGTTGTTGGTTTTTTTTGGGTTGTTTTTTTAACAAATAGGATGGCTAAAAGGAAAAGGTAACTAAACAAAAAACAGCTAGATTCCAAGACAAATGTCAATTTCAAAATAAAATAAGAATAGGAATGTTAAATTCAACAAAGAACACAATCTTTATTTCACAACAAAAACTAAAAACAGGAACATGTCAGCATTGGACCCTGCCAGGTGTCCAACAGATTCTTAAAGCCACTTAGAGAGGTCAAGGTCGAGAGCTTCAAATCTTTTTGTAAGATATTCCAGGAAACGGGAGCAGAATAGGAGAAGGCCCTTTTGCCTAGTTCAGTCCTCATTGAGGGAACACTGCAGGTAATAATGTCCTGAGAGCGCACACTGTAGCTGCACTCACGCAGAGACATGTAGGAGGAGATGTATGAAGGCAACAGACCAAGAAGTGATTTAAAGATGAAAATGTACCAGTGAGAGAGTCTGCGTGAAGTTAATGATGTCCAGTTAACCAGTGAATACAGGGTGCAGTGGTGGGTACGATAATCACAGCCAGTTATGAATCTAAGTGCACCATGATAGACAGCATCCAACATCTGCAGGGTTCTTGTAGGAGCGTTCATGTAAATAATATCACCATAATCAATTGAGGGAAGGAAAGTCACAGATACAAGGCGTTTTCTAGCTTTCAGGGTTAGACAGGATCTGTTTCTGAAAAAGAAACCCAGTTTAACTTTCAGTTTCTTTATCAAGTTTTCCACATGGAGCTTAAAAGAGAGATGTGAGTCGACCAAGATACCCAAATATTTATAGGAATCAACAAACTCAATGGGGACACCATTTGAGGATAAAATCGGAGGAAGAACTGCTGGGACCAATTTCCTATTTGAAAAAAGCATCCCTTTGGTTTTGTCGGCATTTAGGACAAGTTTGAGGCGAAACAAATCTGTCTGGATGTTGTTGAATGCAGATTTCAAAAGCTGGAAAGCCTTAGCAACTGTTTTAGCTCGACAATAAACAACTGTGTTGTCAGCATAGAAATGTATGGATGCATTAGGGATGTTTTTACCTACATTATGTATGTAGATTGTAAAGAGGGTGGGTCCTAAGACTGAGCCTTGTGGTACACCATTGTTGACTGTTAAATAACTGGAGGAAGTACCATTATGTTGAACACATTGCCTCCGGTCTGAAAGATAGTTAGAGAACCAACCAATGGTGTGTTCTGAGAAACCAATTTCTGAGAGTTTATGACACAAGATGTTTTGATCCACAGTGTCAAAAGCTTTAGACAGGTCTAAGAAAAGTGCAGCACAATAATCCTTAACATCCAGTGCTTCAACAACATCATTAAGAACCTTCAGTGAAGCAGTGGTTGTGCTGTGTTGTTTCCTGAAACCAGATTGATGTGGAGGTAAGATGTTAAATGAGTCCAGGTAATTTTTGATTTGAGAGTTTATCAGTTTTTCTAGAACCTTGGCTAAAATGCAGAGTTTAGAGATTGGCCGATAGTTGTTCAGTGAGGTGGGGTCACCTCCCTTCAGCAAAGGAAGAACCAAGGCTGTTTTCCAAGTGTCTGGGATGGAGTTTTGTCTTATGGAGAGATTGAAGATGTGGGTCACAGGGACTGTGATGATATGAGCGGCCATGAAATAAGGTGGAAGTTCATCTGGACCTGCATATTTTTTAGGATCAAGATCTTTTAACAGTTTATTGACCTCACTGACTGAGAATGGAGAAAAAGAGAAGCTGTGATCAACTGAGGATTGACTTGTAGGAGGGATTTAATATAAAAGTAATATACGAATAGCTAAAAATAAAAACATGCTGACAAACACTAAAAGTAACTTGATGCTGGCTAAGAAATGGAGTTAGCAAAAAAGCTAAGTAAAAGCTGCAAAAGGCTAGCTAAAAAATATTTAAAGCCTATAGCTAAAAGCTAAAAGTAGCAAAAGGATGGTAGAAGGTGAAAGTAGCTAAAAGCTAAAACCATGGGCCACCTAAGCTAAAAATAGAATGATAGCTAAAAGTAGCAATAGTATGCTAAAAAATGTTAATTTCACATTTATTTAATCAGGCATAGTGTTAACACTAAGAATAAATTTACAGTGCTGGCCTGGCAGCACCAACAGGTGGGTCAAGGCAGGGAAGGGAAAAAAGGTAAAACAATAAAATGTAGTAAAAAAACAAGGAAATCACAAATTACATTAACAACACATTCATTGTCAAAGTAAAAAGAAACAACAACATTACTACACATGAAAACATTTGCAAGTATCTTTAAAAATGGGTTAAGGCCACAGAGCAAAAGCAAGACTTGGTCTTTAGAGTTGTTAACTGCAAATACTGAGAGGATCGAGTGTTATGCTTCAAAACTGGTGCTAGTTTGTAGTAGCCGAGTTAAATATGGAGGTGACACGCCCAGCAAAGTCTAATAAATGAAGGTAAACCAATGAATTTCACAACGAGCATGTTTTGAAGGCCATTTGACAATGATGGGTGTTATAGCATTTGTAACAAAGTGAATAGCAGAGTGGTAAATTGTGTCCAGCTTATGAAGGACACCCTTACATCTGTAAATTATGTCTCCATAATCCAGCAGAGGTAGAATGAATTTTTTTTCAAAAATGGTGCATTTTGCATCCAATGAAGATCAATTTCTATATAAATAACCAAGTCTCGCTTTAACCTTAGATTGCAAAACATTAACACGATGTGAAACCAATTCAAATTCCCAAATATTTATAAACTGTTACCTCCTCTACTGTATATATCACCATTTACAGTTTACAGTGATGTAGCAGAATGGTAGCTAAAAGCTAAAAGCAGAAAAAGGCCAGCTAAAAGTTATACAAAAAACAAAATAGAGGTAGTATGTTGAAGCAGATTTCAAAGACAACAAAAGTTTTAGAAGGAATTAAAAAGATCTCAGTACTACGGAGAAAAGTTTCTCCCAAAATACAATGTTAATGATTTTAAAAAGTATAAAAGTTACAACAAAGAAAAGTCATATGGCACCCATCTCCTGAATGAGCTGAAACTTTTGGCATATGGCTAATAGTGCTAAGTATCCATAGTACCGGTAGTTAGATTGCAAAATGCTGACTCAGCATTCATGCAACAACCAGAGTTGACCAAATTGCTGTGCAACAGTCTAAAAAAGCAGATTATTTCTGTCGCTAAGATAAGACTCATGTTGAAATGACAAAAATATTCAGGTCAGATAAGTTTGGTGACTTCTTGAATTTAAGAGAGGCCTCCATCTTCTGCACCTGAAACAGGTTTATCTTGTTAAAATCAGCTCTCCCTTTGTTCATACATAGGCATTTTAAAAGGTCATAGTGCTGAGTGTGCATATTAGAGAAAAAAAATCCTCTGTCTTCATACACTTATGGTAAAGAATGTCTTAAAAGTAAGAACCTTTTTGTGATCTACAAAAATATCATCATATCTTTTGAATAGTTCATTTTAATCCACGAACAATTACTTTTGAGGAGTTTCTGGCATTTTGGGGCCTTGAATCCGTCCAGGTCCAGGTCTATACAGACTAATAAAAAAAAACTTCAGACAAAAGAAGAAAAAATGTTAATTAAAGTCCAGTAAACATATTTTATCTGATTTATTGTGTTTGCAAAACTGCCATGAGAAAAGCAAGTTTTATGTTCAAAACCAAATAGAAATCATTCAAGTACTTTTGTAGTAATGCAGTAACAGAAGCATAGTTTAAAAAATATGTAAAGGAAAATATTTGCTTATTAGAAGTAGTAAATCCCAAGGCCGCAAAAAACTTAACGACAACTGGAAAATTTGTTTCTCGTGCTGAAAAATGTCTAACTGTCGTGTCATCGTGACCCACGGCAGCCTCACTGAGGCAGCTAGCTTCAGTATGGTGTGACATACACGTCATTATTATTTCAATGATTGATTTTATTTTCAATAATTTGTTTTTGTTTGTCATCAAATTGATCTCATAGGAAGCAAAATGTGGATTTATACGGATTTACTTGATCTGGCGTGTAACAGTTAAACCCATCTTTAACCAAATCCACCTGCAGTCATTTGCCAGGGGCACACACACACACACACACGCACACACACTCCCCATCATTCTGCAGGTCCGTAACAGAGCTTTCATCTCAGCAGTCCTTCACAGCTCCAGAGCAGATGAGCAGAACAGGAGCAGCGCAGGTAAGAGACAAAAATAAATCAGGTCTTCCCTTAAATTGTCAATAAAGATTAAAATTTTCCAGCTTTTAATAATAATCCTGATCATCGCTGCAGCCTTTTATCTTATTGTGTGAATGTTTATGAAGCATTTACACTGTGGTGATCCATTTTCCCTCCGTACGTTTTTCAGCGTGCTCGTCGTTTCGCAGTTTTCAAGCTATTTCAACAAATCATAAATCAAAATGTTCAGCTCTTTCAGGACAATCCTGCTATGACTTTTGGTATTTGTGCAACTTTAGTTTTTTTTTATATATTTAGCCTTTTCTGCCATTTTTTCCTCATAGAATATGAATTGATCTTTAGATCTGTTTACAACCTTTTACTGCACCTTTCACTTTTTGTTCTGTTTCAGCTTCTTTCAGTTTTCTTGTGCAAATTTTAAAAAATATCTGCTATTTTCTGTTCATTTCAGCTGTTTTTTTCCAGCTGTTTTGTGTTCATTTCAGATTCTTTCTGCTAACTACAACATTTCTGTGCTTCTTCTAACTTCTTTCTGCTCTTTTCAGCTTATTTATGCAAGTTTCAGCTTTTTCTACTACTTCAGCTACTATATAGCTTTTGTGTTAATTTAAGCTTTTTCAGCTAATGTTGCATTTTTTTGCACTATTTTCAACTTTTTTCAGCCTAATTAAAAAAATGTGCTTTCTTCCTTCTTATTTCATTTTCTTTCTGCTTTTTAGCTACTTTTGTGTTTTGTTAATTTCAGCTTTTTTCCAGGTAATTCCACTTTTTTAACTCATTTCAGCTCCTTCCACTTCCTTCTGGTAGTTTATGCTTCTTTCCTCCTTTTCAGCTTTTTTTTATTTTTTCTAATTTTGCTAATTTCCTATTTTTTGTGCTCATTTCTGCTTATTTAAACCTAGTTCAGCAAATGTGTTCTTTCTGCTAGGCTTGTTCTTCCATTTCAGCATGTTTTAGCTAATTTCAGCTGTTTTTCAGCTAGTTTTTTTTCAGCAATTAGCATTCACGCTGCATTTTCATATGAAATGCAATTTCCCTAATTTAATATTTACATTTGAATGTTTAAATATGTTTGCACACATTCAGGTGTATTCTCCGTGGTATTGGTGGAAGTATGGACTCAGCACACGGTCACGGAGCGAACTTTGGGGTTGTATGGAATAACTCTGCAGCTCCGGAAAACAACGGACCTCCGCTGCTGCTCGATGCTTGGCTGGTGCCCTCTTTCTTCGGCCTCATCATGCTGGTCGGTCTGGTCGGGAACTCACTGGTCATCCATGTGGTCACCAAGCACCAGCAGATGAGGACTGTTACTAACTTCTTTATAGGTAATCCCTTTTAAATCCAGGTGATCTATTTGGTCCTTTCATATAAACTGTTTGCACTTTTAAGAGTAAAACATTAAAGGTTTGTTTTATTACCTTAAATTGCAATCAACCGTTTGTTCAGTTCTGCTGCTTTGAATGAACTAATTTAATTAGTTTGGTCTTTACATAAAAATAAGCCAACCTTTTATCAGTATTGATTTCTATGAAGTTAAAGACAACTAAAGAGATCAATTCTTAGACAGCCAGTGATGACCCTTGAACATGTGCCAGTTTTATTAAATGTTTCTCTTGTTTGTTTCATGACGTGTGTGTTCACACATCACCGTTTTGTTGTTTTCTTCTAGTAAACCTGGCTACAACTGACATTGTGTTTCTCGTCTGCTGCGTGCCCTTCACTGCCACGCTGTACCCTTTGCCCAGCTGGATTTTTGGAGAGTTCATGTGCCGCCTTGTCAGCTACCTTCAACAAGTGAAATACACACTAATCAAATCACTGCATACACACAGAAACATCAAATATTGCAGATTGCTGGAAAATTAGAAAAAATATTAAGACAAAATCAACATTATATTTATAACAACATGCTAGAACACCATAATTATAATGATAAAGGCATGACAGATAATTATATTAGCATAAGAACAATATTAAAATGAAAACATAGGACAAGTCATTGCATATTTGTATGATAAACTGCAAAGCAAGAAAAAACTAAACTAAATTATTAAGTACATCACATTTGATCTTATTAGTATACTCAGTAATATGATACTTAATTACATTTAACTACTGCTGTACAAGTTTAGTTTATTTTTTTTAGAGACATTATTTAACTGGATATGTATTGTATAGTATTTTGTTGTCTGAAAAATATAAACAAGTAATATTTGAACAGTGCAGTAAATATATGATGTGACATTAGTCATAGACTGTTGAGTAAACTACAACAATAATATAGTAGTATAGAAATAACCTGAGAATCCAATGTGTGTTTTTGTATTATTCTTATTTATTTGTATACTTAAAACGCAAAATATGCATGTGTAGGGAAATTTTCATGCATTAATCTCTCAATATTTTAGTAAGCGGTTCCCAAAGTTAGGGATCCCGGGCGAGCCCCCAAATATGTTATGGTCCTGATAGGTCTATGAGTAAATGGCAGGATAACAACATATAAAGCCCAGACAATTGTAACTTAGACCAAAACTTTAATGTTAATTTGATCTTCTGAACATATATGCAGACTGGGAGCCACAGCTAAAACAAGCAAAAGGAAGGAGAAGCCACGAACCAGCCAGCAAACCATTGGATTCAATTCAGTTCAATTTATTTATATAGCGCCAAATCACAACAAAGTTGTCTCAGGGCGCTTTACAGAAACATTCACATACATAAAAAAGCCTATTAGTAAAGTTCTTTATCTAAGGAATTCAGGATTCAGGCTGCTCCCCTCGCCCTATGATCCAAGGACTAACCCTACAACTAAAAACCGTTAACGTAAACTAAACCGGTAACTCCCAGTCCCAGCAGCAAATAGCTCAACAAAAAAACAGTGACAAGGTGCAGTAACTGGCATCTGTGACCGAAGCGGGAGCAAGGCTGGAGAACAAAGCCTGCCAACATCAGACCAACATCTCCTCAGGTCTTCCTTGCTCATCCAGTAGGCAGAGCTTGGCCCTTTTAAACTGGTTTCGGTCAATCAGCTGTTCAGAGAGAGCAAATAGTAGTAGACACACATTGACATTAATGACACAGGAACACGTCACAGTTATGACCCTACAAAGTGTCATAAAGCATCGAGTTAGGGATCTCAAGATAATTTTCAGAAACAAAATAAAATTTTAAAACAATTGCTAATTACTTTTTACATTTGCCCTAGTGGATATAAGAGATAAGACATGTCATGTCAATTAAAACAATATAATAGACATCTTCCTGTTTTTAGTGTTCTAAATCACTTTACAACCTAGCTGTTTTTATTTTGTTTTTTAAATACCATTTTCTATTATTTGTTTTTCTCAATTTGTATATTTTTTATGATTATCTACTGTTGTCTACTGTCACGACTCTGTTAAAATCAAGTCGCTCTTGTAAATGTGTCCCTGAGGCTCAATGGGATTAACCTGCATAGATAAAGGTTGAATGAAAAATAGGTTGTCATTATAGGCTTAAATGCAATATTTGTGGTCGCAAGTTTTTGCCACTGTTATTTTGTGGGTCAAAAGTTGAAAAGTTTGTGAACTACTGTGATACATGATAGTGTATGTCTTAGTTCTCTTTTCTGGTATTCCTGTTTCCTCCCACAGTCCCAAAACATGAAAGTTGGGTTAAATGACAACTCCAACAGAGACTAGAAGAATGTACAAAACTAAATCTTTGTCTTTGGACATTTTAACAGCAGCGTTACGTGTCGTATCGTTTTGTATACTGCATCTTTTTCAGGTGACTGCACAGGCAACATGCATCACTCTGTCTGCTATGAGTGTGGACCGCTGCTTTGTGACCGTCTATCCTCTGCAGTCACTGCGACATCGCAGCCCTCGCGTGGCTCTGGGGATCTCTGTGTCCATCTGGATCAGTATGAAACAAATAAACTAGAAGACACTGATTGTTTGAAAAGTCTATCATGGAACCATGAGAGTGATATACATGTCTTGGGTCTGTCGTGCACCCGATCTTCTCCAGGCTCTTTGCTGCTGTCCATCCCTGTAGCCGTGTACCAGCGCCTAGAGGCAGGGTACTGGTTTGGGCCCCAGACGTACTGCAGCGAGATCTTCCCGTCTGAACAGCTTCAACGAGCTTTCATCATCTACTGCTTCCTGGCCGTCTACCTGCTGCCTCTGCTCACCATCGCTGGCTGTTCCGCCTTCATGCTGAAGCGTATGGGCCAAGTCAGCGTGAACCCCTCAGACTGCAGCTACCAAGTAAGAAGACGGTGTCTCTTGCTCAAGTTCTTGGTTCTTCCAGAGATACAACCAGTTCTCCTTGACTTGAGCTGCAGGTTCAGGCAGGGCGAGCAGCGGCCGTGAGGGCTCGAGTCTCCCGAATGGTGGTGGTGATGGTGGTCCTGTTCCTCATCTGTTGGGGGCCCATCCAGGTCTGCATCCTGATGCAAGCCTTTGGCCTCCGGAGTTACATTTTATACAAGGTGATGTTTGGACTTATGGGGATTAAAGAAAAACCTGAGCATGCACAAGTTCTTAAGAATGCCTTTCGAATATGTTTCTGGTGTTTTGACTTAAATAACACACTTTGATTTTTTTTTTTTTGGGGGGGGGGGGGGGGGGGGGGGGGGCTTATTAGGCTTTGAATAGCTTCAGCGATAGAAGTGGTCAAACCTGCTCCTGACATTTTTGTCCCTTTCTTAATTTTCCATTCACAGCTGAAGATTTGGGGTCACTGCATGTCCTACACCAACTCCGCTGTCAATCCGCTGGTTTATGCGTTCATGGGCAACAACTTCAGGAAGGCCTTCAAACACGCCTTCCCTGCCATGTTTCTGTGGTGCAGGAAGGGGAGCGTCCGGGTGGGAAATCTGGACATGAGGGAAGAAGAAGTGATGGATCTGCAGGCACCCAAAAGAGAAGAAGGGATACACTTTCTTTCATCTGCGTCCTAAAGGTCGTGCTGGCTGTTTGGAAGCTGTGTTCATCGTTTATTTATAGTTCAGTCTGGAGACGAGAGGCGTCTGAAAAAAAAAAAAAATATATATATATATATATATATATATATACTGTATATAATCCTTTGAATAATATACCATGTGTTGAAACAATAACTAACGATGTTTTAAAGACTAAATTTAAAAAAATATATAAATTTGGTATAAACTTGTGTTAGAAGCTCGACGTCGTGAATTAAAAGCGATTCGATCAGCAACTACAAATATGTCAGCTGATCCATCTCCATGACAACAGGGCCAAGTCCAAAAGACAAAACAGGAGACGTGTGGTTTAGTTAAGCTGTTTTTTATTTTTCTATGTACACAGATATATTGCACAGGTTTAAAAAAAATGATTAAGAGCACTCAAATCTATACAATCCTGGTTTTAATCAAGCAAAAAGAAAACCACAGAACTTGTGTACTCTTAAATGAGGGGTTTGTGTTTTGTGCGTTATTTTTCTTTGTGCGTATGAGCTGTTCAAGATTGTTACACTTTATGTATACATACACATTAATATCAGCTTTCAAACTGATAAAATGGCTTCAAGACACTCAAACTCCTCCAGTTTCTCCTTCCTGCTGGAGAATGAAGCTGGAGGATTGAACACTGCAACACAGAGTTCATCAACCTCCTGATTGAGTTAACAGGTTAATTTTTATTACCAGTATGCTTCTTCCTCTTAGTTTGACCAACTTAACTTTCAAGCTCACAACTTCGTGAATATCTCTCTACTTTGTTTTATTTTCCTCCTGCATACATGACATATTGAGATTTGACTGACATGAGAAATTATGTGATGTAATTAATTGTGTCCACTCTGTTAACTAAAAAAAAAAAATGCTTCTGAGGTCCTAATGTTTGTTTTAATAGAGCTGAAAATTGCCATTAAAATAAAAAATAAAAAACCTGGAACATAAAATAATTTCTGGTTTTGACTACAAACTATGAAACATCCCCAGTGAGCATGAAAATGCCTAGCTGGGCTTCTCTGAGCGGGCTGCAGGAGGAGCAGCGGCAGGACGTCACGGGTGTCCACGTGTCAAACATTTCTTCACGTCCACCTTCCTCGTCAGCTGTCCCTCTGATTTTATAGAGACGGGGTTTGGAGCAAACGAAGGGTCATTAATTATCATATGCTGAAGCTTTCTCCACAGCCACATGTGCCCTTGATGTTAGGATTGTTGAAGACAAATTCACTGGACAGCTTTGACTCCACAAAGTCCATCTCAGTTCCCAGGAGGGTGAGCTGAGCCTTCTTTTCAATAAACACTCTCACACCTGAAAGAAAAAACAACAGAACTGTCACTATTACGTTTTAATCTCAATGGTCCATATAATATCTCACTGGGCAGTGACTGTTGGGGACTAGTTGGTGAATGGCAAAGAAGTCTCCAAAATGGTTTTAAATGATGGCAGGGGGTCTTAATGTCCTTGCATCAGCTGCAGAGGTTAGTAGTCTGGCTGCTTGAATTTTGACCGTGTTCAAGAAATCTGTACAACAAACTTTCATTCTGAAAATGGAAAATATTGAACACTACCATTTTCAGCCACTAGAGGGCCCTCGACTAATATGGCAAGCCAAGTGTCTCATTAAAAGTGGCTATTAATGAGACACGTGGCTCGTCATACAAAACCACCTTGGTCTCGCTCCGGAACTTCTGGAGCAAACGTCAAATCAGCTGCATTTCACCGCGCCGCCCCAACGAAATGCAGCTGATTTGACCATTAAAGTTCATTTATTAAGGAGACGCACCTTTGTTATAATTTCAAGCAAACAAATAATTGTTTTTAAGTGTTAATTTTGTTAAATTCTTGTTAAAGTCCTCACGTGCACGCTCCCGCGGCCTCCATTTGGCAGTAATTCGATTTTTGGCACAACAGCGGTGACGCATAATAGATGCGACTTATACAGCAAAGTGACGTATTTATGTTTTGTTCCACTTTATTAAGACATATTTGGACTGATGCGACTTATACGGCGGCAAGTACGGTAATAACTATTGACTGGTTCAAATCTGCCTATTTTGATTTAAAGTATGTCCAAGTCCTGTTTGTTGTCTTGACGAAAGCATTCTTTATACAAACTGAGGAGGACAAAAACAATTAAAGGGTTGGAGATGTCCTAAGTTGGTTGAACTTTTCCCAACAAACATTTATGAAGGATTTCTCATAGGAGGGTTTGTTTATCTTAAACGAACTGGTGCAAAAAGGCACAGCATTTTTTTTTTTTTTTACTTTTAATGTTTGCAACAACAACAAAAAGCCATTCAAGTCTGTGCTGAGGGGTTGTATGAATTTTGCAGCCATGTAAAGCAGGAACATCAACTGATCAGGACCGCTGGATCTGTGCTCTGAGCAGATTGTGCAAAAGAAAGTGTGGCACAAGTTGCAAACCAGCAGACGACACAGCACACTCTGTAGATGACAACTGTGTTCAGAGGTGGACATTTTCTGTTCTGCAGCTACAACGCCACGCACAGGTCATCCATGCAAACAGGACAAATTTACTCATTGTAAAAACTAATTATTGTTTTATACATGTTGCATTACTAAAATTTACTTTTGAGAATAATAAAGTACATAAATTCAAAGCTTTAACAAAACGCATTACCTTTTTTTGTGTGTGTGCAAATTTATGGCTTGAATATAGAAAATTCTGTTTTTTTTTTCCTGTTCTTAATATCATCCCCCTCTATGGTTTGAAAGAGCTCCAATTCACTAATTCACTGTGATAATAACTAGATTTAACCTGACAAGAAGGCGCAGGTTTCGCTCATCTTGTCTTCGTATCCTAATAATAGGCATAAAAAAAACCTTACCGTCCTGTAGCACCTCCTCGTCTGATTTTTCTTTCTCCTTTGTGTATTCTAGTGTGTAGGTCAGTCCATTACAGCCGCGTGTTCTCACGCCAACCTTCAACCCAATCTGTTGATAAAAAAAAAGACAATAAGAATTTAAACATCTGCTGTTTTGGTGACAAAATACACAGTGGATAAAGGAGGATGGGGGAAATGCTGGAAATGGAAAATTAATAACAAATTTTAGGTACAATTCTTCCTAAATTTGATAATACTTTTTGTACATTTTTACTGCGTACACGTTTTCTTTGTCTTTAACTAGAAAAGCTCATTACAGAAACAGGACAGATCTGTAATTTTTTTTAATTTTCAGTCACTCCTGTATCTGCTAACATTTTATGCAGTTTTCACAGACGGAGCTCTGCGGTGAGCCTCTCATCGTTGTGTCAACAAAACTAATCAACAGTTTCATCAATAATCTAATAACCAGTCAGGCGATATCACTGCCATCTCCTTTCATTAAATGCTACGTGATAGGAAGTTTCCTATAAAATATTCAGCTTTGACTTAAATCTATAGCCTAAAACAAAAAATATTCCAAAGGAATAGCAGTGGTGTGAAATTTTTGGCATTTTTTCCTGACATGCACAAACATGAAAGGACTGCATTTACGTTTTAACCTTCTTTTTAAATGTTGTGAACAATTTATGGCTTACAAAAGCCCTATTCGCACAGGATTGGTTTTATCTAGGGACCACATGCTATTTTTAATAATTACGGAGATTGTCTGTGTTGTTAATCGGCCATGTCAGTAATTTGTAAAGTGAAAATTCCCCCAAAATTACCTACTATATTTTGCTGAACTCCGAGGTCCTGTGACAATACTAATCCAATGCGAATAGGCGTCTCTGTGATTTGGACAGAAATGCGCAGGATCCTAAAGCTGTCATCGGCTGCTCACGTGCACGGCCAGTGACAGCTGTCAACCTGAGCTTAACGTGTTTTCTTTTTTTTTACCTCTTAAACCGGTCGGTCGGGCCTGCCTCCTCCTCAAGTAGATTAACACGATTTTAAACTGTACATTCTTTAGTTTTCTTTGTGCTAATTAGAAAAACCACATCAAAGCCCGAGACCGACCGGGACCGCACATTATAACAGATTATATGGACCGACCCGACCCGGTAGGGGTGCAGAAAACAAATGATTTTTTTTAAAGAATCTAGATTCTTAGTTCTGGTGATTTTGAATTGATTCTAAAGGCCCATAAATCGATTTTAAAATGTGTTTAATTTTGTTTTTTTCCCACTCCTACTCCCGAGCATACGGCATATCGCATTACGTGTCCGCTCAGCCGCCGAGGAAGTTTGTCCGTGTAGGCCACCGTACAGCAAGCTAGTTAGCCAGCTCCCTTTATCTGAATGGAGTCTGTTAGCATGAAGCAGGGGGAGGAGCGCGCAATTCAACCCGCTCCTTCGTCTTTAAAAATCATTTCAGATCCTACAATGTTCCGGGGGAAGACGGAGCCTAACAGAGCACGGTTGTTTGCAAGAAGTATAAAATAAAATTACGGGACAGTATTTTGGAAATACGACAAAATGCACGGAAGATGAAAGCGAAAGCAGCAGAGCAGTGAACTCTGCAACAAACGTCCAGGCTTCCCCAAAGGCTGTGAAGATTTCCCTCTCCATCATCTGCTATACCACAAAGAATTTACAAGCAGACATCTCAGTGGATTGTGAGGGGTTCAGGTTTATTGTTAATACGCTGGAAGCAACGTACGTTACTCCTTCACGCAGATAAAGCTCCACACAGCTCCAACATGAAACAAAGAATAACGTGAGAGAAGCTCTGATGCAGCTCCAGCTCAAAGGGAACTCTTTTTTCTCATATTATACTAAAACTTATATACAGACAAGTTGTACAACAAACTTTATGTAATTTGTCTTTTTAACAGGTTGAACAGAGACCAGGTGAGACACATCGCCTGGAGCCAGTTCTAAATGATATAATTTAGATGGTTTTATAAATTATTACAGTTCAGAAGAGTTTTTGTGCAAACTTGCACAGGTTTTGAAATTTTGTTAAAGATTTATTAAATATGAATCAATACGGTTAAGACTGAAGTCTGTATATTTCATATTAGGTTAAGTTTTGAAAATATAGCACATGTTAGAGCAATATGGTAAAAAAAACTGAAGTCTGTATATTATTTTGAGTTAAAGGTTAATGTACTATGGTAGGCTGACGTCTGTTTACTTTTGTATTTATATATTTTGAATTATTTGTCTGTGATGGACTGGAGACCTGTCCAGATGTCCCCCGCCTCTCACACAGTGATGGCTGGATATGAGAACCAGTGATACCCGTGACTTGAAAAGGAAGAAGTGGGTAAAGATAATGGATGGATGGATTATTTGTTCCTAGATTATTTTATTTATTTATTTTAAATCCAGGCATCTAAGCTAACCTAATGCTGGTAATTTAAGTTACAAAATGTTATGCGCTGCTATATTTGTTCCTAGCTTTGGTATAAATATAAAATGATGCAAAAAGATTTTATACAGTAAAGAACCTAAAATGATTGTTTTCAATAAATGTTCTATATGTTTATATTGTTGTTTATTCTTTTCAGCTTGTCAGTTACATAACTGAAACAAAATTTATGGCCATTTCAATAGAAACATGGCTTCCGAATCGAAAAATCGATTTCGCATCTAATCGTGACACCAAAAATCGGAATCGAATTGAATCGCCAGACACTGAAGGACTCGCACGGCCCGGTCGTGACAACGCAGCGCGTTAACATCATATCCAGAAGATGTCTGTAAATTTCAGCTAAATTTAAGACTTGGGTTATCCCGTGCGAAGGCGCCACATAAAAAGCAGACGGGGAGATTACACTGGTCCTTAGGTAAAACTAATCCCGTGTGAATAAGCTAAAGACAGACAGAATTTTCTTGGAATGAAGCCGTTTCAGTTACAGATCAACTACTTACATATTCTGGTTTGTCCCGCAACAACGTCCTGATTTTGCTCACAGCTGATGGAGTCTAAAAAAAAGAACATAAAAAAAGTTATGATCCACAGTTTCCACACTACGTGCTGCATCAAGAAAGTAGCTTTTTGATTTTCTGGGACATCTTGTGACTGGAAGCAATGATTTGAAAAAAAGAGCGACTGCAAAAACAAATGTTGGCTGCGCTGGTGTACGATACCTTTCATCCAACTGTGGCACAGAGAGACGATAACTTTTCTGAAACGGAGGAACGGTACCAGCAGTGTAACAATATAACCTGAGCTACAAGAGCCTCTGCTGGAACTCTAGGGGTGCCCAATCCTGATCCTCGAGGGCCACTATCATACATGTTTTAGATGCTTCCATGCTTTGACACATCTGACTTGAATGAACGTGTGATTAACAGACTTCTGCAGAACTTGAAGACATGTTGAAGAGCAGAGAAACAAGAAAAACACACAGGATAGTGGCCACTTGCTGTCTACTTGCTGTCTACTCCAGATAAACAGGACATCTCAACTGTGATATATACCATATTTACTATTTGAACCAAGTCTGCACAGACATTGTGGAGTGAATATGTACATATATTATTACCAGAAGCACCAAAACTTCACACTTTTTTATTTTGTCACCTTAAACTTTAAGAGAGGAAAATAGAATGTAGCTATTAATAATTATCTGTTTAAATACCTCAATCAAAATTACTTTTGTTACCAGCAAGTTTAGTAAAACAATGCAGGACCTTCAGCCAAACATGTAATGTTGTCTGTCACGTTTCAGTTACTTCACGGTACGACTTATCAGCTCGGGCCACCACACAAACATTATCTTTCAGCAGCACTGTTAGCAGAGCTAACATAGCAGCATCAGCTGATATTTACCATCAGCACGTTTTTCCCCAGACGCACCCATTACCAACAAACCATGGCCACGCTTCTTAAAGATTACATCACACTTTTTTATGTTTGGCTTTACAGTACTGCTAAATGTGTGACGTCCATGTCAATCAACAATTTTCAGATGGGAAAATTTTAGAAGCTTACTGAAACAGTTTCAACATTAACATAACCAGAGACGGAGCAGTGAAGATAGGAATTAGGGCCAACATTAAGAAGTTACTCTAAAGTTTTGCGTATCCAGGTGTAATTATCACCAATTCGTACTCAGCTGTGTTGGTTTAAATGCCACGGAGTCACTGCTGTTTACAGTATTTTTTGTCATGAAATCTTTTAGTGGTGCCTGATTATTATTATTTTTTAGTTCATAAATGTATTCCTCCACTAATGAACAAAAACGTCTTGTTTACATTACATACATACATTTATGCAAGCAAAGCTAAAGGTTAAGAGCACTGTCAATTTTCTTTAAAACAAATACTGATGTGCTGCAGATGCAGGTCAAATGCTTTAAGTGATAATGTTAACCTTTCTATTGACTTTTAAGTTTTATTTGTAACATATGCTAAAAAAGTACAGTAACTGCAAGAAAATATGTCTAAGGAAACCACTTTAAGATGCACCAACATATAAAACCATGTTGTACTTGTATGCAATTTGCACATGTGGGACGTGCCATTGTTTTGTTCTAGCAACATCCTAGATAGAAGCCTATCAAGAATTGAAGGTCAATCCTTTGACTATTTGTTTTACAGGTGTAAAAGCACGTTCTCGATTAGAAGAATGAAGCCGGAGGACCTGATTTAACCTCGTTACATTTATCGACCTGAATTATTGAGCGTGCATCAGGACACGTTCTGAGGAAGGACAGGAATCCATACCAACTTTGTTTTGGTAACACAGAAATGCCAATCTCAGATCCTGTCCTGCAAATTAAAGTTCGTACTTTGACATTTCTTCTCTCTTGAGATCGACTTTTGTCATTTGTTTCGTTAAAACCCAACTTTGGTGTATGTTTTGTGTAAACCAGCCGCAGCTAGTTAGCAACATTGGCTGTTTTTAGGCCTCTCGGCTATGAAAGCTGTTAAAACTTGCTAAAATATAAAACGTATTATATTATAAACATTTAGCTCAGATGGTGTCTTAAACAACCACAACATGAAAATGTAGCGTTACTAGAAAGCACAGCGAGGTTGAAACAGCGAAGACGGAGGAGTTAGCTAACTACCACAACACAACAAAATGGCTCCCTAGAGGGAAAAATACGCTTTTCTCAAAAGAAGAACACAAATAAAATGCTATTTGCTTTAATTTTTCACTAAATGTGATAACTTACCAGCGTGAGAGCGGCTCTTGTGGGTAATATTTTTCTTTTATTCACAGCTCGGACAGTGGCTCGCACTAAGGAGGCAGACATGTTGACGTTAAACCATAACATTGAATTGCGCAAGCGTGAAAACAAACTGGGGAACACCCAAAAGACGCATAGCTGACGCCGATTGGCTGATATTTTGATGGACGGGCGGGACAGCCAATGAGATGAAGGGCACATATCTAGAAGGCTAATCTTTTATGTAACGTTTTTGTATATTTTGCTCGTTGAATCTACGTCCTTCCACATGTAACTTGTACCTTCTAGCGATAACTTTTTAAAAATAGTTTCTATTTAATCCACGACTTGTTGCATTTAAACCGTCGACTGTAAGCCCCACGTTCACTGTAAATGTTTTTTTAAGATGTCGAACGGAACACAATGTTTGGAACTTGGTGTTCCCATCTAACCCAATTGTTTGTGAGCCCCACCTCTGTCCAAAACAGCCAAGGGCATTATTTACAATTTACTTTAGCGTTTCCACATTTAATTTGAATTAAAAAGTAATTTAGAACGTTAAATAGCATACAACACAAACTGCTTTAATTCTGTTTATTTGTTAATCTATTTTTCTAGTCACATCGGTGCAGTACATATAACCTGATGGTGTTCACATCTTAATGTCTCACCACTGCATTTTAATCAAAGTTAGGCCTCAACATATAGCGGGTTATTAAATTTTCTTGTTTTTCAATAATTTGCTGAATTGTCTTGTTGCACTATCTGGATTCAGTCAGTCTTTAACAGCCTTAATAACTTTACATTAAAATTTACAACGTGAGAAACTAACAGCTGGAACGTGTCCAGATTTCTAATCATCAACCCTCCACCACCGTGCATGACAATTAAGGATGATGTGCTGATGATCTCCACTTTGAGCACGTCTTTTCAAAGCGGAGCATTCCAGAAACCTTGTGGTTAGGTGCAACTTGATCATGTTTTGAAGAATGGATCAGAGTTGGATACAATTTTATGACTGTTTCGCACAAACAGCTGAGTGTACATAAATAAATAAATAAAAAAGCACTACAAATTGGGACGTAGACTTTATTTTCTTTAGACAAAATGGATTGAGTCAGCCTTTTTGTTGTTGTTCGTTTTGGCAAATCACTTTCTGAATATCTTGTGAAAACATTCATTTGCGTCCATCTAAACAAAATAAGTAAACGTTGAAATAAAACCCATCTTAAAATAAGAACTTTAATCACAATACTACCAGTTTTTTTTTTTTTTTCATAAAAATATGCAACACCAGCGAAACAACAGAGGCAGAGGGTCCATATTTAAAGGTCGAATGAAAACCAGGTCTTTGAGACACAAGCAGCAACTTAATTCAAGGGGGTGGACCCCTGCAGTGCAGCTACCAAACTCTGTCATCGTTACAATAAAATTACAAGATTTACAAGTTTAGAAGTGCTTGCAGCATTTTATACCAATAGCTGTACCAGTGGATAGGTTCTCTAAAATAAACTAACAAAACAACCTAAAGCTGAAACATTTCCGGGCAGCTGAGACATCGTGTTCTAATCAAACAGTGAATGGACGTCTCAAAGTAAATTTTTGATATTTAATAACAAAAAATAACCCACAATGGTGCTTTCTCCACTAAACATAACATCATATTCAAGGTAGACACACATACCAGTGCTGTGGATAAATTAGAAATTAATTAAAAGATAGCCTTACTAAAATAGATCATAGCCACACAACAAAAGGCACACTGCCATCAAAGCCTTCATTGTCTTTTTTGGTTAATCTATCTAAAAAAAGAAGTAGGAAATAAGTGAACTGAGTGATAATAACATGTTTAAAGTGAACTGGAGTCATCAAACAGAGTCAAACATACCTTTCCCTTTGTCTTTCGCTGCACCTGTGTTCACTTGACTATGGCGACTATTGAGTCTATTATGTAAGAAAGTGTTTGCATCGTATTTAAAACAAATCTTTAAAACATACCTTCTTATTATTTCAGATGTCTTTGCTCTGACACTTCTTGAATTTTTTTCCCCTCCAAATATTGTAGTTTTTAGAAATTTCCATATGCCATGGATCGGACTGCAGAGTAATGAAGGAAATTAATAAATTGACTGGCAGACTGTAAACTAAGACCTTGGACGTTTGCATAATGGCTTGTTTTGGTAAATTAAAAGCTTTTAAAAAAAAAAGCTCATCTCGTGAAAAGAGCTGTAGGGTGGGGGACACAGACACACACATAAAAGGCCCTGTTTGGCTTCAAGTCACGGTGTCCAGGCTTTGGCTTTAATGAGCTCCATCTGGCCTAAAAATATGACCCAGATTTAAGCTTTTTGCGTTGTTTCTTTCTTTTTTGGACTTTGGGATGCAGTCTGCGTGGACAACAGTAGAACTTTGTGATCCGGAGCTTCTCATTCCACTGGATTCTTCCTATGACCGGTCCGGTACAGATTTCGACAGGCTAAACTACCTATGAGACACAGGAAAGAAAATATTAACATTTGTGCACACTAAGAATGTAGCCAGCCTCAAAAAGATTCCTTTAAAATCCCTCAAAATTCAAGTAAATGCAGTGACTTCAAAAATAGGTTTCAAAATGTAAAGAAAGTAACAGAAAAGATAAAAGCAGGATCAAAACACTAAACTTTAGACGAAGCCACAGAAAGATGGCGACAACGGATGCATAAACGTCATGTTCTCACGGTCTCACCTCACCAGCCTCAAACAAGAATATCAACTCAGAACACAATAAAGAAACATCGCTTGTGTTTTACTTAAACAAAGTTCTGTTTCACTCACAAATTTAAACACACTTGGTGGTAGCTTTGACGTGGGCCATGACCAGTCTTTCGAAGCATTTAGTGACTATCGGGGTGAGGGCTACTGGCCGATAGTCATTCAGACCAGTCACTGCAGAGCTTGTAAATGGTAAATGGTAAATGGATTGTACTTATGTAGCGCCTTTCTATCTTATTTCAAGACTCAAAGCGCTTTACACTACAATCTGTGCCTCATTTACCCATTCATACAGCACTCTACTAGATCTCTACAAAGCTAATTGAACAAATCATTCTAAAGAGACTAACCAGTGCTTTAGATCACATTCATACACTGATGGGACACGCATCAGAGGCTATGAGGGGTTCAGTGTCTTGCCCAGGGACACTTCAGCATGTGACTGCTGGTGGATTCGAACCCCCAACTCTCGCATTGGAGGACGACTGCTCTAACCACTCAGCCACAGCCGCACATGACGCTCTTAGGAACTGGGATGATGGTGGCGGTCTTCAGGCAGGTGGGAAAATATGTCAGCCAGCACCTTGCAGAGCTGATCGGCACAGTCTTTCAGCACCTTCCCCGGGATGTTGTCTGGGCCAGTTGCTTTGTGAGGATTAATCCTCCTGAAGGTCCTCCTTACTTCTGCTGAGGTCACACTGAGGAGCTCCTCTTCAGATGGTGAGGCGAGTCTGGTGCTGGGTGGTCTATTTGGGTCTTTAAATCAGACAAAGAACATGTTAAGAGCATCAGGCAATGATGAGTCCCTAGGGCATTGTGCACCCATGCTTTTATAGTCTGTGAGGCACTTAATGCCCTTCCCCATTCTCCTTGGGTCCTGTGAGGAGATACAGTATGTCCCTGGATCTTGGATCATGTTGTTTTGACCCTCTTAAAACCAGCAGCCAGAGCTTTTCCTTGTCCTCCCCAGTTCCTGTGTGTTTCCAGACCTGAAGACAATATCTCTGGCTTTCAGCAGAGTATGAACCTCTGTGTTCAGCCAGCGTTTCTGGTTCAGGTAGTACATCAGTCCTGGTGGTGGTGACATCTTCAGCACACTTGCTGATGTATCCGAGGACAGCAGACATGTAATCCTCCAGATCCAGCTCTCCCTCATTTACAGCAGCCTTCCTTAAGATCTGCCAGTCTGTTATCTAGCTGGAAGGCCGAGTCTGGCATGTTGTTATTAAGCCATGTTTCTGTGAGGCAGAATACAGCACAGTTCCTCATCTCCTTAGTCACAGAAGATCCAGCTTGTTTTCAAAAGAGCCGACGTCGGCCAGGAACAGAGATGAAATCGGCTGTCTGTTAGCATTAGCCTTCAGCCTCACTAATACTCCACCCCGTTTGCCCCTCTTCTTTTCCTGCTCGGATCGCTTCATGTTTCTCTTAGAGCACTGCTCCCTCCACGCTGCTGTCGCTGATGTTCGTAGATTATTAAAATATAAATCAACTTGAGTAGAAAACTCTAAAACCAAACTAAATCCTGAGCAGAAAAACATTTCTATTCATTCACCTTTTGAAAGCATCTAATGACTGTGGAGGCATTATTTTGCTTTGCTTTAAGGCGAGGTAATATTTGTAATATTTTAAATAAATAATAAATATGAGTCAGTTAGATTTGAATTTAACCTGAAGTTGATTTAAACCATTAATGTGCACAAAAAAACTGAATACCTGCTTGTGGACCTAGTATTACACTTTGTTTTTTCCTCTTCTCTTCTTGTATAGGTAAGCCCTGACAAAAGGACACATAAAGAGAATTACAGTAAAACAAAGCCACTAAAAGCTCACCTTTAAAAAATACATCATCATTCTGAGAAAAACTTACCTGCTTTTCCTTTTCTCTCTTTTCCTTTTCTCTGAAATTTTTTACGTAGGCTGAAGAGAAGGTGGAAAATCAAGATTATTATAAAAGTTAAGTGGCATCTTCCCTCAGAGTTAAATAATTAATGCATAATATCTTGCATATTTTCTATGAAGGTAACAAAACACCAAATCTCACTGTTTACCAACAGAGTTAAATGAACCATTCTGAAATAGCTGCCAAAGTGAAAAAACAAAGTGAACTGTGTGAACCTGCAGGGCCTCTGTAAAGCTGGCAGTCCTTCTTGATGTGGGAACTCGATCCACACAGGAAGCAACAGCGCATATCCAGTGCATCGCGTTTTTTCCAGTGTTCATTCTTGTGCCTGAGCTGATCCTTCATCTCATCCGTTGAATCCATTTTGTCCTGCAAGTGCTCTGGCACTTTTTCTGAGTCTCTTCTGTGCTTGGTCCTAAAACAAAAACACGTAGCTCGTCTCTTAACATGCCGGCCGTTTCAATCAGCACCACTCAGTTCAGACACGTGCTGTGGTTGCACTCACTTCTTGCGCATGGGGCAGTCTTTCATGAAGTGGCCGATCTTGCCACAGATGCGGCAGCAGCGGTCGTTTGGAGCCACCTCTCCCTCGGTGAGAACTTCAGGATCGAAAAAAAACTCCTGAACAAAACAAATTGCAGGGTCAACAATCTGGCAACGTGAATATTTAGAGAATTTCAAGTCTGTTTCATGTGCTGACCATTTCATTGATATACACGGGAGGGAAAACTTTCAAGGGTGTGCCAAACACTCTTCTGCCGTTGATGAAAGCCTTCATGATGAAGTTAGTCACTGTTTTGGTGATTTAAAAAAGATCATATGAGAAAAATGAACTTTGTAAAGAAATAAAAGTAATAAATAATTTAAAAAAAAAAGGATTATCATACTTTTCCTGGACAGACCAGCACCCAAATTATGATTCAGGTCAAATGGATCTGTAATATGAAGACAATTCAGACTAACAATACTCTTAAAAAGTAAGCCAGGAGTGTTGGATAAGTGAATGGCTATAATCTATTAAAATACTAAATGGTCTATTTCCAGCCTCAGTTCTTTGTGCGTTGAGTGTCAGATCAGCTGACCTTCGATGACGATATACTTGGAGGTCCACTGTTTGTTGAAGGTGGTGAGGTGGGCTTGCTGTCGAACGCACACGACATGTTCTTTGAAGTCAAATTCTTCGGTGTAGAAGCGGAGCAGGCCGAGCCACAGCTCCCCCACCGTCTCAGTGTTCTGTCTATACTGGGGCCAGTGACTGGGCTGCAGGTGAAAACAAGGATAATGGTAACACATAAAAATGAGCTGCATACTTATTAAAAATAATGTTTTATGAGGAAAACACACACTTAACACTTACTAGTGCTTTTAAATCATCAAAGAAGTACACGTTCCAGCCATCAACTAGCACTTCAGGCTTCTTTTCTCCAGCATAGACCTGCAGCAAACCAGTCAGTAATGCTACTTATAGTTGTCGCGATAAACAATAAATCAATTAATTGCATGATTAATGAAAATTATCAACCTCATTTGCATTTATCTGCTTTATCATTTAGCTCCGGTGCTGTTCACTGACCCCTCCCTTTCTCCTATTTAAAATCCATTTTAACTATCCAAAATCTCATATTTGGACCGTTAAAAGCAGCTAAGCTGAGAAGCTAAGTTATGAGCTAAGCTACAAGGTCGACCTCGGGAACAAAACCTCCGTCTTGTTGAAGCTCCAGAATTCACAGTTGAAACCCGTGCCTTCGTGTAAAAAGTTGTTTTTCTCTGCAAAAAGATTCGGAGAACTTGTTTACTGATTTTTTTATTAAAAGCTTTGTGTGACAAATGCAATGCTAAAGAGCTCAAATCACACAGAGCGTCCGCCATTTTGAGAACCGAAAAAAAGGAAAGGGAGACAGCCCATGTCATGTCAAGAGGCCTCCCTCCTATTTTTCATAGAGACATGCTGCTCACTCCCTCACTATCCATCCTTCAACAGTCTTACACTGCCGTCCAGTGGTAAAAAAAAAGGTACTACAATCAAAATAAATTAACCAACATTTCTTCTTAAATTTGACAATAACTACTAATAATAATTACTAATTATTGTCAAATTTCAAACAATATTATCGTTTATCGCAATCATTTCTGAGACAATTATCGCCCAGCAAAATTTGTTATCATGACAGGCCTAATTATAGTCTTAAAAACAGAAGTTTAGAGCTTCAAAACTACATTTTCTGTACCTCCTGCAGCACAGGGATGACTGGTGGGTTTCTCTGCTGAAGGAAGAAGAGCACCATGAGCGTGTAAGCGTAGGATGAGAGGCTGCCACGTGAAGCATCCCCAATGTCGCACATCTGTGATGGGACAGGAAGAGAAATATGTTAGGAAAGCACAACATATTATCCTGTATGCATACAAAGAGATCCCAATGTACAAAAAAAAGAAGCTCACCTTTGCAAAAACCTTCATTACATAACAGATAATTTTCACTCTTGGGTCGATGGCAGCATATGAGGCTAGCAGGCGTGTGTTGTGCAGAGCCTGGAGAGAAAATAGGTTACCTTGGATCATGACAATAATTATTTTAGAGCTTTGTTTTTTTTAACCAACACACCAATTTTGTTTAAAGTGGATGTGAAAAAGGGGGAAGAGACAGAGACCTACCAGTGTATTGTAGAGGCTGATGTCTCCCTCCAAACCGGTGAGATTGTGATAAAACTTAACGATGGGTACTTTAGCCGTAGTAATGGGCAGGATGTTCTTCAGACCTGACCAGAAAGAGAAAACATCTTCACTTCCTTAGCCACTAAAGAAAGAATCACTGATGCTAACTTAAATTCATTTAATAATATTAGTTCAACAACAACTTCAACCTCATGAGTTCTCTGTTATTGTATGGATCATTGATGCTATTTCAGCTAACGCTGCAAAGATTCAGGGAAACAAAACTTGCACAACAGTCTAAAAGTAAAGACTTGAAAACTCTTAGAGCGGTTTCACTGAGCCACAATGAGATATTTGCTAGGTTTGAATAAATCACTGTCATCTGCTCATAAGTAAAACCACCATCAACACTGCTGCAAAAAGATAAAAACAAAATTACACAAGCAACGTATCTGAAGAAAATCTTATTGATCAGATCTGCTAGAACGCACCTGGGTGTTTCTTTAGCAGTCTTGCCAGGCCTTTAATGACATTGATACATTCAAAATCCTGTCAAAAATACAAAACGGATTAAAAATCTAAACAATTATCAAAACTGTTCCTAAAATATTACACAGAACGTTGCAAATGTGCCATCATCTAACCAAATTATATTTTATTGGAACGGAATAAAAATTCAATACCACACAAATAAATGCTACTCCTTAACAGCACGTATGAATCCTATATAATGAACAATCATAAGTCATTATATGGGAGAACAAGAAAACAATTCAGTAACTTGCATTTAAAGTTTCTTGTCCCTCCAAGATCATGCAGATGTCGAGGTCGCTCTGTCTGAAGCCAAAACCATTTTTCGACGAGCCGAACAGTTGTAGCCGAGCCGCTGCGCAGTAAAAAAACAAAAAAACATTTTAAATAAAAGCAAACGTAAAAGTCTTTGAAAGTTAACAACCAGGTCAGAGTGCAGTTTGGCTTTAAGAAATTAAACCAAATGAAATGAACAAAGGAGTGCACATCACCAGCAAACTGTCGTCTGACAAAGTTCTCCAGATCTTTAAGGATGTGCTCCCTGACGCCAACTTCCAGTTTACCTGGAGCAAAGTCACCTAAACATGGGAACAACAAAACAAAAGTCTCTTTGTGATCAAATCAGGTGATACAAATCTTTGTGATGAGTGATACACACTACTCACTGTAGCACTGCTCACAGACTTTGTTAAGAACCCTGAGAAAGTCCGGCGTCATCGGGGGCAGTGGCTCCAGCTCAACTTTCTTAAAATCTTCTGGACAGTCTTTCTTCAGATGTCCATCACGTTTGCATAAGCTGCACACGACCATGTGGGACTAACAAAAAACAGAACACATTCACTTTTACTTTGAGCCCAAAATCATTTCCACAACATGAAGTTCACTTTGCTTTGTTACAAACACGAGATTAAACCTACCTTTCCTCGTGTGAAGGCCTGCCTGGTGAACTCATAAGTAAGTTTGGTTTGATTTTGGGGTTTCTTTTCGATGCTTTCATCTTCAGTTCGATCTTCTGAGGGTTGAGGTGAGAGCCTGTCTGTTGCCATGCACAATTCTTCCTCCTCGTCCTCATCCAAAGAGCCAGGCGTGTCCAAATCCGGAGCTTCCTCATCGGACAGAAGGTCCTCCCCTGAAATCTCGTCGACTGGGAAGATGTCCTCCTCCTCTGTTGTGAAGCTGTCCAGATGCTGTCTATTGTGTGCATTATCCGTATCCACGTCCTCATCCTGCTCGTCCTCTTCCTCGTCCTCATCCTCGGACAGACTGCCTTTGCCTAGGTCCACTACTTTCTTCTCCTTCTCTTCGTCCGAGTCACTACATACTTCCTCCTCTTCCTCGATGATGCAGTCGGAGTCCTCAGCACCATTATCCGCAGTGTGCCCGGGACTTGTACATTGTGACTGAAGGGAGAGCTGACTGAACTCAGACAAACGCGTAACTTCTTCGGGGTTTGCTCCTTGGTTGTGGCCTTGCTCTGCTTTTCTTTTATGGTTAGCAGCCGATGCACTGAGTGGAAGTGCAAAGTACTTGTACGTGCTTTTAAGGCAGTGGAGGATGTAGTCGTACATCTGCGGGCTGTTCACCGTGCGGGCCACATTTCTCTTCGCAGCAAACGGGTCTGGAAACAAGCAGTAATGACCCTTCAGTGAAATACAGCTCACGTAAAAACTAATCTATTGTCAAAACAGACCAACAGAATTCAAAATTAACAGGTGGCAATAAAACAATTATTTCCTTTGAACCATTCTACAACATTCACACACACACAAAAATAATAATTTGAGAGTGTTTCTGACCCTCGACAGCGATTCGTTTTTTGGGCCAGTCTTTCATCTCTCTCGAGAGGACGGCGTTGGTCCGCACACTGATGACGTTGTCAGCTATGAGAAACTCCAGGGAGTAGAAACGAAGCATTTCAATCCAGAGGAGCCCGACTTCCACCTCTGGATGAGGATTAGGAAACACGAGTGGGACCTGCACATCAACAGTTAGTAAGGAGAGAAAAATAGCTGCAGCGTCTTGACTAATCTGGCACATTCAATCTGAGGTCAAAGTTCATGCATATTTTCAAATTCCAGGCTTTTTCAGACTCTATAAGATTTCACTGTTAGTCGATTTAGAAGAGTTCCCTTCAATACAAAATATTCAGAATTAGATTCAAGTGAACTCCCAGTTATGATAAAAACAGAAAAGTTTCAGACGTATGGCTGGAAAACTGATATGTAATAAACTGGTATTGATCTCGATTGATACGGTCATACACCCTGAACGAGGCGCCTACTGGAAACAACTTGGGGTTCAGACTTTTTGAAGCCATGTTAACATAAAGGGGCAAAACTGAAACAGAAAATATGTCTTCCTTCTTAGATTCATGAAAAATGCAGTTTTTTTTTATTGCATGCAAATTAATTTATAAATTATTAGACTTTTATTAAGAACAATTGATCAATTAGGCTTACTTTCTAAAAAAAAAAAAAAAAAAAAAGACAAGTTGAATGACACAAATATATTTTAGTTAATGAAAACTTAGACAAACACTTTCAACTATCTTAACCATTTTTTACTTAAAGTTACAAACTATACAGGATACAAAATAATATCGCACAACTGAATAACTTCTAAATTATCATGTAAAAATATATTTTAGTATTTGTTAAACTGCAACAATCATCGCAGATGAATAATAAATACTTAATGACTTTTGTCTTCAGTTCTTATTGAAAAATTGGGACATGTGTGTAGGGGAGTTTACAATGAATTTCTTCTTGAAATAAAACTCAGCTTTGTTTCAAATTTTGAGACAATCTTACTTGTAAAAGTGCTTTTGCACAGATAAAATACTGTCTATGTTCTATTATGTATGCATTTTATTCAGTCAACCTTTATTTATACAGGTTAGTCTCATTGAGTCACGAGGATACATTACCAGTAAATGTGGCAAAACAAATCTTTTGCTTGATTTCTGTTATTTTTTTGCTTAAACTTATTTTAGCTTTAAGAAAATGGTACATAACAGAGTTTGAAGTAAGTTTTCCTACACTTATCCAGAAGTGGAAAATACCAGATCCCACACATTTCAAGACATGATCAGAAGCCAACATACCTTCCCCTTTATACAAGTGCCCTCTGCAGGCTGTGATGATTCCTTAGAGGAAGGTGTGTAGGTCCAGTGTACATAACCCTCCTCTGTATGTGTGAGATTGAAGTCGGGCAGCTTGCCGAGTGAAAATCCCTTTACCTAAAAATAACAATCAGACATCTTGGTTAGTTTCCACTGAGAGAAACTAACAAGAGCTAAACTCCTTTTTCAGATGTTTTTTAATTTCTCACACATTAAATGAGGAGAAACGCTCACCTTCTGGTTCAGGTAAGTAGGCAAAACAGGCTCTCTACGCTTTTGTAAGAAGAAAATAACCATGAGGGCAAAGACGTACGGAGGCAGGCCTCCTTCTTCTGCACGGTCGATCTCACAGATCTACACGAGGCAAAAATAACTACATGTAGGTTTTCTGTCAAATTAATAAAAAACAAACAAGCTACCTGGGTAAGATGATCAAGATCTGAACATACCCGAGCCCAGTGTCTGAGGCCCACAACCAGAGGATGGAGGAGGCGTTCTCTACTGGTAAGGGCGGACAGGTAGGAGGTGGTTTGAAAGGCGTTTTCATTTCCTGCGCTCATTTTGCAAATCAGCCCACTGTGGAGATAAATTAAGAGTGTTTTCAATCAAAAATGATGACAATGAAGCACACGGTAAACACTGTACCTCACAAAAATATTCACACCATTTTGGTGCAGACATATGTATTCAGTTCCTTTAAAACAAGGCCTAAAATGTACATATACTCAATTCAATTCAATTAAGTTTATTTATACAGCGTTAAGTCACAACAGAAGTCATCTCAAGGCACTAAATAGAAACAGTCATATATAAAAAATAATTTAACACTATTTATCTGAGGAGCAGACTGCCTTGAATTTAACTCCATCGCAGAAATCTCATCTTGAGCATGAAGGCGACAGTGGAAAGGAAAAACTCCCTCATGAGGAAGAAACCTTTAGCAGAACCAGGCTCAGGACAAGCTCCATCTGCTTCGACCGGCTGGGTTTGGTAGGAACAGATACACAATGGCAGGCCAAGAATCACATGTTAAGATAGAAATAATATCAAATAAAAACTATTCAATTTTAGCAAATCATTTAAGGAAATGATGTCAATTCGTCCTCTAGTCGTCTAAGCCTATAGCAGCATAACAAGCCAACCCTAACTAAGGTATCCTGATGCATGCTCAATAATCCAGGTAGAAAAATCTAAAAAAAAACTATAGGCTAAATAACTAACTATAGGCTTTATCATAAAGGAAAGTCTTGAGCCCAGTCTTAAAACTGGACAATGTGTCAGCCTCACGGATAGAAACTGGAAGTTGGTTCCACAAGAGAGGAGCCTGATAACTGAAAGATCTGCCTCCCATTCTGCTCTTGGAAACTTTAGGAACCACAAGTAAGCCTGCAGTCTGAGAGAAAACTGCTCTGTTGGGAAAATATGGAACAATAAGATCTCAAATATAAGATGGATCTAGGTTGTTGAGAGCTTTGTAGGTTAGAAGTAAGAGTTGAATTCAATTCTGGATTTGTCAGGGAGCCATTGGAGAGAAGCTAAAACTGGAAAGATATGATCTCTCCCACTAACTCCAGTTAAGACTCTGGCAGCAGCATTTTGGATCAACTGAAGAATTTTTAAAGAAGTATACTGAAAATAATTACCCTTAAAAGTGAGATAATTTAGTACAGTCAGTATAAGGACTGTTTTGTGAAGGTTTTCACAAGGCACTGTAAACATGATACGTCTCTTTTCTTAATTAAAAAAGCATCCTGTAAACTTTATGATGTTTTTAATAATGATCCGTCTGAAAATCTTAAGATTATCACTTTAAAGCAGCTCCAGACCACACATAATTTGGCACAGAGAAGGGTTTATTTGCATATTGTCTAATCCATAAACTTTTTCCAACCTGTCTTTGTCTTTACAGATGACCACCGGCACCCTGGCATGGAAATCTGCTTCCACGTTGATGAAGAGAGCTGGGAACAATAAAACTCATGTCATTCAAGGATTCAAGGTTCTTCATTTGTCATTCAGTGACAGTTTAGCACATGACTCGTTTCCTCATGCTGGAAAATCTTAAGGCAAACTTAATAAAGAGCACATGACTCACAGCAAACAGAGAGACAGTCCTTCACCAACAACAGGACATCTGGCTGATGCATCTGTAAATAAATCCCATTTGAAAACCTTTTCACAAGATGAATACACTATAAAAAGCACAACAGCCATTAATCAATCCCTCACGTATGAATTGCATCACATAATACATAATTAGTCTCTGACGTTCTGAACTTGATAGAAAACCTGTACATTACAATCTGACGATGTTTTGATGGAAAATAAGTTTTCCAGTTTTTACAATAAATTTAGCTAATAGTTCAAAGGATCATTGTTATAAAAAAAAAGGCATTTACTCTATAAAACTGCTACTCACATGAGGCGGATACTGAATGTCTATGTTAACATCAGAGTCCTTAAATCCAAATTTAGTAGAGGATGATCCATATAATCTGAGTTTTATCTCTAAAGAAGAGAGACGGAACATGAACAAGTCACACATTAGATTAATAGATTTAAAGCAATTAAAAGCAGCACAGAACCAACTTTTTCTGGCATACAAGCACGGCTATCAGAAATCATTCACTTCATGATTTTTGATGAGTTTAATATTTTTATCTACAAGCTTCTTACCAGGCAGGACAGACAGGAGAAGGTCTTGCATGATGGAGACAACACACTGCCTCTTTTCGACATCCTGGTCATTCATCCCATGCTCCTGAACGACTACATCTAGTGCGGCGCTCACCTCACTGATGTGCTCAGGACCAGGAGGCAGGATCTCCGTCAGCATCAGCTGCTCCTGTTTCTCCTACAAGCACAAAGACAGAAGCAGAAAGATGATCACTCCTGTTTTTAAAATGGACTCTTTTACTGCACAATTAACGTTAAACAGCGCTACTTCTCCAATAAAAAGGTCACAGCAGTAGTAGCATAAACAGCAACTAAGATTTTCATGACAGCTTCTTACCTGAGCCTTTTTCTTGTGCCGTTTGTCTCTGATATGCTTGTAGGCGTGAGGTATAGATTCAAGAACAATGTCACACAGAGCGCAGGTGTAAAATGCACCAGGGTTGCCGTGGGGCTTCTGAATCAAGCGTGCAAAACGAAAGTTGCACAAGTGAGCAAAAAACTTGTATTAGTAAAATGTTCTCAGTTAAACTTTGTGAATCATTTGAAAACTTTTGTCGTTAAATCAAGTCTAACTAAATAAAACGTGCAAAAACTGGTTACAAGCTTGTACCTTCTTCAGGAAGTAGATCTCATCTTTTTTAAGTCGCCTTTCTGCTTGCCGTAGACTTTGAAGCTCTTGAACTGAGAGTGAGGACTCTTCAGATGCGAAGCCCCGGTCTTCTTCTGCAAAAAGGTTCCTTTTGCTTCTGTTTCTCTGTCTTTTTCCTACAAAAACAAGAAGTAGTGATCCAAAAAAGTTCAATCTGGTCCTCTGGACATCCAAAAAAAAACAAAAAAAAACAGTCACTTGTTTTTTTTTGTTTGTTTTTTTTTGAATGTCCAGAGGACCAGATTGAACCTTTTTGGATTTTTCTACCTGGATTATTGAGCATGCATCAGGATAAGAAGTAGTGATGGCGGTCATGCGTTTGTATCATAGATGGAGTAAAGTAAATTATTATAGACTAAAGCAAAAATGGTAATTCATACAACTATTTTACAAGAATCCATTTGAACAGTTTTTTTTTTTATATGATGTATTTAACAGAACCCATTTGACAAATGCTCACCAGGTTTACGAGCAACATCATCCTCTCCTCTCCTCTGCTCCATGTCGTCTGTTGGCCCCTCTCCCTGGGTATTTCTCTTCCACTGTTGCTGCTGCGTGCGCACTCTCCAGTTATCCTCTCGACCCAAACCACTGTTCTCAGCATTTAAGAGCCACTGGTGGTCATCTCTCTGGGATGGACTGTGACCACCTTTGGATCCACCAGGTAAGTGGCTCAGCGATCCTTGTCCTCCCTTCTTGGGGCTTGCTTTGTAGGCCCCACCCTGGTTCTTCTTGCCTTGCTGACCTCCGTCTGCTCTCAAGTTCTGTCCTCGAACCTGGTCTTGCATTCGCCTATGTTCTGCCTTGTCTGCTGCTGTAGCTCCCCTCTCCCAACCTCCTTGCGTCGTCCTGTAAGGCCTGCCTGAATTTTCCATAATTGACTTTTGCTAAAACTGCCAGATGCAATATGAAAAACATTAATACTGAATTAGCCTCTATACAAAGTAACTGCTGTTGGACAAAATATCTTGTAATCATAACACGCAAAAAAACAAATCATAACTTCTTTTTTTTTTTAACAAAACAAAACAAAAACACACAGAACAGCGTTTAAAAGAATACAACAACAGAACTATAACCACACAAGCAATGCTTATTTCTGTTGCCTTTAAGAGTCATCATTTCCTGCTAAATTTCTATAAATATTTTTGTTTTGCAAAAATCTGGATGCATTGTTATGGGATAAGGCACCCATTGCGAGTAAATAACCACTTTTTAAAACGCAAAACTTGAACAAATATACCTTATGTGTCCCTCATCGCGGTGACATCCTGTTATTTACGGTTATTTGAGGCTCACGTTACGTAGCTAACTGTAACGTAAGCTATTTACGTAACTATACATAATTGTAAGCTATTAGCTTAAGCTAGGAAGCAGCCTCGTCTCCCAATGTTACTGCTTCCGCTTCGTTGTTTTAATCTTGTACAGTGTCAAAAACATGTAGTTAATAAATCAAACTAAACTAAGTCACCGAATCTAACTGTAACTTCTGCCACTGCCGCATAGAAACAACAATGCTAAAGTTAGCTGCTAACATGTAGCTTGCTGCTAGGACACCTAGCGTTTAGCTACACGGCTAGCTACTTTTACATTTTCTGTTAAACACTCCAAACTGAAACTGCGACCAATGTAGCCTGTAGTTAAGAAACCGCTACGAGGCTTTACAAAATGTTAAAATACCTTTTATGTTTTATGTGAAAGGTTGTCCATCTTGACTTGCAGTGGAGTTTGAGAGATAGCGTAAAGGTCTGGCTGTTGTAATCATTAGCGTTCAAGTTCCGCCCATTGCAAATGAAGTAAAATAAAGGAGGATGAAACAGGAAAGGGGTATTTATTTAAGATAACTCATCGCAAAAACAGTTAGGCTAATATATAAAAATAATAATAATAACGTTAAAGATAGTTTTCATCTTTTTGTCTCCGTTTCATGTTTCGTTTTCTCGTAATCGAAAGTTGGAACATATTGTAAATCATTATGAAGATATTAATAACAATACCATTATATTTAGCTATTCATAATTCATGACCTAGAACCAAACACGTGTTTACATAATTAAATGAGGCATTTACGCGTGATTTTTCAACATTTTTAAGCTATAAACGTTTTGGGGTCAGAAGGTTTTCTTCAGTTCGTTAGTTTTTTTCTCATTAAACAGGCACACACACAAATAAAGAAAGAAAGAAACGCACCTAGCCATATGGATCATTAATTAAAACCTAAAAGGGATCATGAGATTTAGCTTCGGTTGCCCGGGGCGACCGGGGAAAGCGGAGCTGTTCGAGCGGGGAAGACCCCGGGAAAAGTGACGTCAGCTTGCGGAACTCCCCTCTCCACATCCAACACCAGGAGACAGCTGCTGGGAGGCGAAGGGACACGGCCGGTGTCAGAGATGTTATCATTCGGGAAGGTCCAATGTGGTTCCGAAACTGTTTCCAAGAGGAAGAGTCGCGCGCACCTCACACCGCCTCAACAGACAGCTCGACACAGAAAACAGACACTCATGGCCAAACTGAGTGACTCTGGTTTTGAAGAGGATTTGATTTCCTCTCCTGCTCGGAGGAAAGTGTCTCTCGTTGACTCAGACGAAGCAGAACCTGCAGCTGGACAGCTGTCCAACTGGTACCTTCAGTATGGAGACGTCGGTTTCAAGATCCAGAGAGAGCAAGAGGCGCAGTTTCACCCCTGCAGCAGTCTGGCACAGCAGCCACAAGTAGGCTACAGAACATTGTTCTTACTGGGATTGACCATCAAATATTTCTTTGTTGTTTAAAAAACTATCACATATTAATGCTGTATGTTGAAGGCAAAGCTTGTATTTTTTTTAAACCAATGACAGACATCATTCAGATTCTGCTTGTATTAATAAGCCTTTTCTTCCTGCAGCTGACTGCAGAAGCTCGCTGTAAGCTGGTCAGCTGGCTCATCCCCGTCCACAAACACTTCCGCCTGTCCTTTGAGTGCTGCTGCCTGACTGTGAACATCATGGACCGGTTCCTGGCGTCCACTCCGGTTGCTGCTGACTGCTTCCAGCTCCTTGGTGTCACTGCACTCCTCTTAGCCTGCAAACAGGTCTGTCTTCAGTGGCACATTTTGGATGAGAAGATGACTATATCTCATTTAATTCTCCTGATGACCTAGATGTTCCTCTCTGCAGGTGGAGGTGTGCTCTCCATCAGTCAGCCGCCTGCTGTCGTTGTGCTGTGACGCTTTTACTAAGGAGCAGCTTTGCAACCTGGAGTGCCTTGTCCTCCTCCGCCTGAACTTCCGCCTCGCTGCACCCACCCTGGCCTTTTTCCTGGACTATTTCACCAACTGCATTGGTGCTGCTTGCCTTACAGTTCTCCAGAACAGTAACAATGACAGTTGTTTAAAAGTGAATCTGGGACAGTGCAGGAAATTTGCACAAAAAGTGTGTGAGCTGACACTGGCAGACTACGCTTTTAATAAATACCCTCCATCTCTGACTGCTGGCTGTGCTCTGGGACTCGCCTGTGAGGTACTGAGAACTGATGCCGAACAGCTGCAGAACCAAGACAGTTTCAGAGACGAACTACGCTCACAATCACTTTCTGTCCAATCACACAAAAACTGTTCTGAAGGTGATTCTTTGGCAGCGATGGACTACTTCCTGTCTCCAAGTCAGGAAAGTTACAACTGCACTCTAATGCAGGAATGCAAAGACAACCTGAAGCTGTTGGTGTCTCTAAACCAGGAGACTCTTGAAGTGATGGCAACCATGTAACAAATGCAGCGCCTGCCTATCAGAGGAAGAAAAAAAACTTGTGTCTGCTTTTTGTTTATTTACAGCGAAGAGCATAACAGAGTACAAACCTAAGACATTTGCAACATAATATTTATAATTTGTTTACATTTGTATTTATTTGTATTTTATATGTGACATTTTAAAGGATTTTTTTTAATCAATGTGTGATTATTGGTTGTTTATGAAATAAAATATTAGAAAAAAAACCTGTTGGTCTTTAATTTCCTTTGAAAATTAGATGAATCTTCAGCTGACATTT